ATTTATTAACTACCTAATATACACTAGGCACTGTTCTCCTTGCTGGGAATCCATTAGCGTAGAAAATGTACTACGATCTCTGCCTTCATGGAATTTACAAGCTAGTGAGGAGATTGACAACAACAAAAAAGGTCAAGTGTATGTTAGTTGGTAATAAGTACTATAAAAAAAGATAATTCGGGAAAAGGAAATGGGGAGTGCTGGCTGAGGGGAGGGTTGCAATTTTAGATTGCGGGGTCAGAGAGGGCCTCACTAAGGAATTGACATTTGGGGAAAGTGTTTAAAGTACCCTGTTTATGTTTTGAGACAGAAACTCAAAGCAGAGGAAACAATAAATACCAATGGTCCGGAGGCAAGAGAGAGCCTGGGGTATTTTAGGAGTGAGAATAAGGCCCTGTGGCTGTCTTCAGCATGCACAAAGGACAGGAGAGATGAATAGAGGTGGGCATATGTCTGCTTTGTGCTGGTTCGTGCTGGCTGCCCTGGCATAATTATTAACAGTGCCTCTTTTCACTAGCAAAAGTATCCTGGTTTGAATGATAAATTACATGGTCACAACAGAGATGCAGTTAATGCAAGAATTAGCAATGGAAGAGGGATAGAAAGGTGGGGGCAGGAGATTGTAGGCCACTGGAATGCTTTTGGTTTTTATTCTGAGAAGCGAGGTATCACGGAGGGTTTTGAGCAGAGTAGTGACACGATTTGCATTCTATGGAATCTCTCTGGTCCTCTCGTTGGGGGCAGACTGAATGGGATGATGGCAAAAGCAGGGAGATAATCAGGAGGCTGTTACTATAAGCTAGGAGGCTACTGCAATGACCCACCAGGATGGTAGCTAAAAAGATGGTGAGGAGTAACTGAAGTCTGGATATTTTTAAAATCTAAAGCCAAGAGGATGTGCTGATGGACTTGATGTGGGGTGTAAAAGAAAGAGAAGGGTCAAAGGTGACTCCACTGTTCTTGATGTAACAGGAAGGATGGGATTGGCATGAACAAAGTCTAGTCTCAAAGATACCTTTGCAGAGCGAACCCAGGTACGCTGTACTTGGTATGTTTATTTGGGATGGTCTGGACAAGTTACTCATGAAGATTATGTGCTCTCCATGTCAACTCAGTAGTGCCCCAAATCAACTCTATGAGCCTCTCTCTTCCCCTGAATATCAAATGAGATCTCTCCCCACTCTGAGGCCCTGAAGACTTTTTCTCAAGTTGAAAATAATTTCCCCTCCTCTTTGCATTCATTCATCGCTTTAATACATAGTAGTGAATGTCTGCTCTGTATTAGGCAGGCACTGCAGACGTAGCAATGAACACTTTTAAGGAGTATGA